AGTTAAGACCTTTCCCCAAGCAGTGAGCGGGGATCGTTGGCGAGGCCCTGAAGCCGGTGTCCTCCTCTTCCAGGACGAAGCGGCAGCGGTACCTGCGGCTGAGCCCTTCCCTCACCGTGTTCTGGATGTGGGGCTTCGTGATCCGGTGGGTGTTCCTCATGCCGGTGCGGGTGCTGCTCCTCGCCATGAGCCTGAGCACGCTGGTGCTGCTCTGCCTGGCCGTCGGGTTCCTGCCGGACAGCGCCTTCAAGAGGAGGGTCAACGCCTGGGTGGTCAGCTGGTGCTTCGATTTCGTGGCCGGCTCGCTGTCCGTGGTGGCCAGGTGCGCCGCCCCCCTCGCCTTCACAGTGTCCTCTCCTTCCTTCTCCTGCTCCTCTATATACTATCCATATTCTTGTTATCTTTTTCCTCGTGTATTTTCCTTTTCTGTATCTTACTTTTTTTATCCTCTTTTGTTTCTTTCTCAATTCCTTCACTATCGTTTTCGCTTTTTTTTTTTCTTTTCCCCTTGTTTCGTTGCTCTTAAGCTCTGTATCTTTTTCGTTTGTCTCTTTTGCCTCTTCTTTAGCTTCTTATTCAATTCTCTCCCTCTCCCTCTATCTTCCTACACCTTGGATTATTCACAAAAAAAATTCTCTCTTCTTCCATGCCTCTCCTTTCTTTCGTTCTTTTTAATCTCTCTTTCCCTTTCCGTCTCCCAATCTACGACCATACCTATAATCATACAGAAAATGATCTGGTTTTTACCGGTTCTTATCCGAGGGGGAGGAGGGGAAGGGAGGGGGGCAGGGGGAGACCGGGACTCACCCGTCCTAGCTGTCTTATCTCGCCTCCTCCTCTCTTTTATCAGTTGTTGAGCTTCTTCCTCGGACTCGAGAAAGCAGCAGCAAGAACTGGATTATTGCTGTGGGAAAGGAGCAAGTTTCAGGTCCATCTGTCTTGAGGGAAATGTCAATGATAAGATAACAACAACATTATCAACAGCAAAAACAATATGATGATGATGATGTTATTGTTACTACTTTTAATCATTAAAATTATCATTGTTATTATCCTTATCATTCTATTATTGCTATGGTTATTACTATTATCATTATTATTATTATCATTATTATTATAACAGAAACAACCAAGACAAGAATAATCATAAAAATCCTGATTGGAAATCGTCCTACACGAAGATTAAAAAAAAAAAAAAAACGTAAAATACTTTATAAAATTCGTCTATTTCTAGCTCTCTGTCTCCAGGTCAAAAAAAAAAAAAAAAAAAAAAAAAAAAAAAAAAAAAAAATTATAAAATTCGTCTATTTCTAGATCTCTGTCACCAGGTAAAATAATAATAATAATAAATAAATAAATAAATAAATAAATAAATAAAATAAAATAACTCGTAAAATTATAAAATTCGTCTATTTCTGGCTCTCTGTCTCCAGGTTCCACAACAAGGAGAACCGACCCACGCACGGGATTGCTGTAGCGAACCACACCTCTCCCATTGACTCCATGGTTCTGGCGACGGACAAGTGCTATGACATGGTACGTGCCGAATTATGGAGGCAGCGGCAAGGAAAGAATCAGCTGTAGGATGGTCGTTCTTACTGATTTAGTTTAAGGTACTGTCACACTAGCTCTGTTTCCGTCAATTTTTTGACAAGTTTCTGAAATTTTGTCATTTTTTGAGCGAATTGTCGATTTTCCAGTCAGACGATAATGATCGTTTCCGTCTGAAAACCTTTCCGTCAACTTTTCCAGCCACGCAAAGTCAAATCAAGAGTTATATTTGAGAATGTTTGTATTGATGGTAAATAAAATTGTCAAAAAATTGACGGAAAAGGTGCTAGTGTGACACGGCCTTTAGAGGAAGAACAGCGAAAATAAATCAGATTTGTATGTGTTTGCATGGGGATCATGTTGTGCGTGTTGTATGTGTTTGTTTCGGCATGTGTGTGCGTGTTTGTATGTGTTTTGTTTCGTTGTGCGTGTTGTATTGTTTTGTTTCGGCATGTGTGTGCGTGTTGTATGTGTTGTTTCGGCATGGTGTGCGTGTTTGTTGTGTTTGTTTCGGCATGTGTGTTTGTGTTTTGTTTCGGCATATGTGTGCGTGTTTGTTTGCATGGGGATGTGTGTGAGTATGAATGTGCGTGTATGACTGTGATGCACAAAGCAGAATGAATGAATGGTTAATACAATGATATAAGCCAATATCAGCAACACAGCTTCTCTGAAGGTGCTGGAACACTAGCACTTTTTCCGTCAATTTTTAAACAATTTTATTCAACATAAATACAAACATTCTCGAATATAGCTCTTGATTTGACTTTGCTTGGCTGAAAAAGTTGACGGAAAGGTTTTCAGACGGAAACGATCATTATCGTCTGACTGGAAAATCGACAATTCGCTCAAAAATTGACATTTCCGAAAATTGTCAAAAAAAAAGTTGACGGGAAAAGTGCTAGTGTGACAGCACCTTAATACTAGCAACAATAGCTTGGTCAGCATCAGTGGTAATAATACGAACAATATGCTACAGCAATAGAAATATGGACACTAATAACACCCCCTCGACCCACTGCACATTTAAAGCTCTTTCTCAATTATGTGGCGTTTTACTTTTTTTAAAATAAAGGAATAAAACCCCCACAAAAACAGCTTTGTTGAAAGAGCGTTAAATGTGCCATGTCTTTGTTGACATATCAGCACACTCGATTTTTTTGTCATTCACGTCTGCTTCAGGTCGGGCAGCGGTCGAAGGGCATCCTCGGCGTGTTCATGAGGGCGCTGGCGAGGTCCTCGTCTCACATCTGGTTCGAGAGGACAAAGTCGAAGGAGAGGTCCCAGGTGGCGCAGATGTAAGTCGGAGGGAGGCGTGAGGGAGAAAGGGATAAAGAGGGAGAGGGAGAGGGATAAAGAGGGAGAGGGAGGGAGAGGGATAAAAGAGGGAGAGAGTGAGGGATAAAGAGGGAGAGGAGAGGGATAAAGAGGGAGGGAGGGAGAGGAGAGAGAGAGAGAGAGAGAAGAGAAGAGAGAGAGGAGAGAGAGAGAGAGAGAGAGAGAGAGAGAGAGAGAGAGAGAGGGGGGGGGGGGGGCCTCCCAGACGAAGACGATTGCGATCGTTTCCGTCTGACTACTTTCCGTCTTGATCTTGTGCTATTAATAAATTGGATGTAAACATAAGCTAATATCTGAAAACATTCGTATATACAATATACATCATATTTCTTTAAAAATAACGTCATATGCACGAGAATGTCCGTGTGATTCCCGGGGCCTCACTCCAATAGCGCCATGTTTGTTTACATGAGTCAGTCGATTTTCAAACGGAAAATTCATCCGGAAACGCAAAAAAAATGACGGAAAAAAGCAATAGTGTAACAGGTAATAGTAATAGTGTAATAGGTAATAGGTAATAGTAATAATAGTGTAATAGTGTAATAGTAATAGTCTATTAGGGCCTTCAGACACTGCCGCGTCCTGTAGTGACCACCCCTTCCTCTCACGCTCCAGGCTGCAGGAGCACGCCCAGGACACGACCAAGCCCCCGATCCTCATCTTCCCCGAGGGCATCTGCGTCAACAACACGGCCGTCATGCAGTTCAAAAAGGGAGCCTTTGAGGTACAGTTGGAGTCGTCGCCATTTTCCCGTTTTCTTTTTTTTCTTTCCGTCGAGCTGTCAGTAGGGAGGGTAGACTAGTATAGTCTAAAAGCCTATGAAAGAAGAAAGAAAAGCTATTCGGATGCTTGTGTGTGTGTGTGTGTGTGTGTGTGTGTGTGTGTGTGTGTGTGTGTGTGTGTGTAAAGCTTCTAATAAAGCTTATACATTAAGAATATTTGAGATATGAGTGCAAGTTCCATTTCCCTTCCCGGCAGCGTCTGGCCATTGCGCACCTGACACCACGGGCTCAAGGTGACTGGCGGCTGATAAGGAAACCAATTTAGAAAGTGTTAACAACTGCAGATATCGCTGATTAGCGGTGCAGGCGCATAGTCTGGGTCGCAGTTATTTGAACGGCTCTTTGATTTTGTACATAATACGAATGTGGCAAGAATATCACATCCATACATCTGTACAACACATACACACATACATACAGTGTGTGTATCTATTGTTGTTATAGAGGGAGCATTCCTTATCCTTAAACAGTTACTTGGTATTAAATATTGAAATGGCTTGGCTTAATTTGTCCCTGTAATGTTATTCCAATAGCCTTCCCATTCAAAGTAAAGTAAAAATTTCTTCGCTCTTTTCAGATTGACAGCGTGGTCTTCCCCATTGCCATCCGGTTCGACCCCCGCTACGGCGACCCGTTCTGGTACCAGGACTCCTTCGGCGCCTACCTCTTCAGCATGATGACCTCGTGGGCCATCGTGTGCGACGTGTGGTACCTCCCGCCCATGCGCCGCGGCGAGAACGAGTCTGCGACGGCGTTCGCGAGCAGGTTCGTCTTCGGCGCTCGGGGTTCTCTGCTTCTGTTTGTTTCACCTTAACTTTCTTCGACACATCCGGGGTTCTCTGCTTCTGTTTGTTTCACCTTAACTTTCTTAGACACATCCGGGGTTCTCTGCTTCCGTTTGTTCCATGCGCTGTTTTTTTTTTTTCTAACATTTTTTCCATCTTTCCCAACGGTTATTCATATCTTTACTAAACTCGTCTCTTCTCCCTCCACACACACACACACACACACACACACACACACACACACACACACACACACACACACACACACACACACACACACACACACACACAACACACACACACACACACACACACACACACACACACACCACACATCTCTCTACCACACCCTCCTCGGCCGACTCCACCGCCAAACCAAAGAGTGAAGGCGCTCATCGCCCACCGCGGAGGCTTCGTCCAGCTGGCGTGGGACGGCTCCATCAAACTGGCGCAGAAGGGGAACGCGCTGTGGCGGGAAAAGCAGACGCGGTGGAGGAACAAGCAGCAGGTGGAGTTCGCGAGGCACCTGAGCGTGGGCGAGGACGAGGACGCGGCGCGGGAAGGGAGTGGGAAGGAGGAGCGAGAGGAGAGGGAAAAGGACTCGGAAAAGGACTCGGAGGAGGGCGTTCCTGAGGACGCATCGCGGGAGGGGAAGAAAGAGGTCTGAGGATGGTTGGTGAAGGCGGAGGCAGGAGAACGCGGGGAGGAAACGTGTCAGAAGTCTGGAACTGGAAGTGAGGAGAGGAAAACAAAGGAGGTGAACAGAGGAAGAGGAGAGGGGAAGGTGAACGAAGTGGAAGGGGAAACGGAAACCATGCAAAGGAAAACGAAGAGAAAGTGAAGAAACTGCGAAATGAAAGAGAAGGAATGGCAAGCGAACGCAAATGAACAAAAAGAACAAAAAAAATGACAAAATGGGGGGAAGATTGTGAAGGAAAATACTAAATAAAAAATAGAATGAACGCAAGGGAATTAGGTATGATTTTTCTTTCAAAAAACAAGATACTCACTGTTGGTGCTAAAGAACAACGGCGTATATTATAAGGAAAAAGAAATTATAATGTATGTTGTAAGTCAAGCAATAAATAACATGATACTAGTTTATTTTCCAGGTATTTATTATACGCAGTGCCTTATGTCTGTCTCTCTCCATCTATCATTTTTCATCTATAACTATCTATATTAATCACAGTCTATCTATCTATCAGTAATCAATCCATTTATCTATCCTCTCTCTCTCTCTCTCTCTCTCTCTCTCTCTCTCTCTCTCTCTCTCTCTCTCTCTCTCTCTCTCTCTCTCTCTCTCTCTCTCTCTCTCTCAATACCAGAGAGAGAGAGAAAGAAAAATTGAATCAATTTTCCAATCAAAGAGCCATTATGAAACAACGGGTAGTACAGTTAGAGATAGCTATTGGAGAAGCAGCTGGAGAGGAATCCAGGAGCTGGGGGAGGTCGTAAAATAATAGGAAGAATGTCAGGAAAGGAGGGATTAGGAGAAGGACACTGTTGCGACAGAAGGGATTCATGTGAGTATCCAGGTGGGAGAGGTAAGGATAATGGGGAACGGAGAGGGAATGGTGCACGTGGAGGAGAGGATGGGGCGTGTTGGGAGACAGTGGGAGGAAGAAGGGGCACTTGAGAAGGAGAAGGATGGATGCTATGAATAGAATAGGAATAGGAATAGAGGGAATAGGAATTGAGGAATTGGAGGGTGGGTGAGGGAGTGGAGCATTCTCTTGGGTCGTGTGTAGGAAGTTTTGGATCTTTGGGTGGTGAGGGCTGAGAAATATACGTTCTCTTGTGAGGAGAAGAAGGGATAGACGTTCAAGAAACAGATGGAGAGGATGTGGTTGAAGACGGAGTGGAACGTTAAGGTTATCTGGTGCGAAAGGTAAAGTGAGGAGGTAGTCATTGGGGAAGTGGCAGATATCGGAAGTATTCAGAGGGGAAATGTTACATCTTGAGAAGATGGGAGGGGAGCAGAGTGAAGGACTGTCTTGGAATAGATGGAGAGAAAAACTTCGTCGTCGTACCTCCTGTCTGGCCTCACGTAGAGGGAGGCCTGCTACCTCAGATTCGAGCTGATAGGCAGGGCAGCTCCTACAAAATACATTATGGGAGCCATCACAGCCACCACGCCACTGAGCAGAGCAATTTGAACGGTCATGACAAGGTATGGCACATAGAAGACAATTGGCTGTGGAGTGACAGTGTTTGGCTGGATGGCCAAAACGTCGACATTTCTGGCACTGGCAAGGAAAGGGTCTATATGATCGGACATGATAGGACCACCAATATAAAATTCACGGGGGAGGTCACGTCTCCAGAAGCTAATCTTAGCAATATTGGTGTTGAGTTAAGGTAGAGCACACTAGCACTTTTTCCGTCTTTTTGGTCATTTTTTAATAAATTGTGAACTTTTTGAGTCACACAGGTTTAAAGAATATTGCGTCCGTCACGCGAAACGACGATATATCATTGTACACCTTCCTTTTCAATCTATTCTTTGCGTACCCGCCATCTCTGACATCCCAGAGTCAATGATTCTAACTAAAGAAATTCCTCAGAAAAGCAGGTCCAGACAATAGCAAAAATAAAACAAATTTTATTAATTTCTATAAAGAAACATATTCATATTTACTAATCTATTGTTTTATAGTACGTGTATTGAATTTATTCTCATATTTTTTAATATTAAAATGAGTTTTATTTAACATAATGCATTCTCGAATATAGCTCTTGATTTGACTATGCTTGGCTGAAAAAAGTTAACGGAAAGGTTTTCAAACGGGAAGACTAGATCAGCATCTGTTTATTTTGATGACGTCACAAAAGTTAAGGATGCTTTGTGAATATGGGAAAGGCTAGATCAGTAGCAACTGGAGGAGGTGTCATGGCGTCTGATTTTGATGACGTCACAAAAGTAGCGATTCTATTTTTGGAAAAAGCACATGGGGTTTATTATTCATTTTGTTCTTTCAATTTTCAAAAAGGATGTGAAATAATGATTTTAATGGTCAGGCATGCCGGACTCGCCATACAGGCTCTCAACTGGAGAGGAGCGGAAGGCGTCTAGGGCTAAGGAGGACCGCAATGGTGGACTGTATCAAGATGAGCAAGAAGGGAGGTAAAGCAGATGAATCGATAAGGCATCCACAATTAAGAGCGCCGAGGATCAAGGTTGTATGAAGATGGAGGATATGTGGGATAGAGTGTGAGACTCGGAGGCGGCGACGAACTTTTTCTTTGATGGAAAAGATATGGTGTCGTCTAATGCGGTGGAGGAGTAGGCAGCGGTGGAGGAGGAGGCATAGGCATAGTAGTCGTGGATATTGGAATTTCTGGATTTAGAATGGAAAATGGATTTGATTAGGAGATAGGGGTAAAGGTGGGAAGTTTAGGGAAGAGGTACTGTTGATGATGTAGATACAGTTTGTGTAGAGGGGAGAAGAGTAGAACGTTGAATAGTATTGGAGTAGGGACTGGTAGAAAAACCTCCATGGCTTACTTGTTGCTCGGCTTCTCGTAGAGTAAGGCTAAGCTTGCTTCTAAGAACTGCCACCTCAGATTCAAATTTGTAGCAGGGCAACTCCTATGAAATATACAATGTGGGCCACCAATTTGCCAAGTGTTTTTCTGTACATTAAATAAAATGTTTCAGTAATAAAAGTGGCAAAAAATTTTCGAAAAAGAAACCAAGGAAAAAATAAAACTAGTATTGAGTATTTGCAATGAATAAAGCTCATGCTCAGAAGTTGCCAACTAGTATTTTCATCAAGTTGGAGTACTCACACCTATGTATAGGTACCTTGATCATGCCCATGGCTACCCGAGGTCGTTCATGACCGGCTCAAAGTCAGCCTTTCATCCTTTCAACACGGCTCTCAGACTTTAGGAACTGGACAGGCGAAGGAGTTGGGGAAGGCAAGGAAAAGGAAAGGAGGAGGAGAAGAGATTATGCAAAATTAATTGACCCAGATGATATGAGATCCAAGGAAGTGGTGATTGCCTGTCTCCGTCTCCCAAGCCCCCCATGACAAGCAAGGGATTGGGGGGGGGGATTAGTGTGCAAATGTCACTGATTTTTGCAGGATATCCTTTGTAGGTTTTATTCCACTGAAAACCAAGGTGTGTAATAAAATATTTAATCCTTTACTATAAAACAACTACACTTTTCAGTATACAGGGTGGTTACACAGCCCTTAATATGGTTGAGAACATCACCCATATTGAATAACAATGACAAGGCTTCTAATAATGGATGCCAACAGCTATGATATGATATATAAATGTGAACGGTGACTAAGTAAATGTTGATTGCACCTAATTCCAAATTGCACATCAAGTTTGTTAATATATATGTACATACATATTAAATTTTCATGTTTTGTTAAACCAATTGATGTCTTTTTCATAAATGGTAAAAGAACATTAAATAAAATTAACAAATGAAAAACACATAATAACATCTTAATAGCAAAAGCAATTGCTTTCCTTTCCTAAATGTTCTTTCACATACTGTGGACATACCTTGCTAAACTAGACTATACACAAACCTAAATACTCCACCATCTCACATACACTGTCTTGAACATAATAATGCTGGTATATCATACCATCAACAATATGTCATTTCATGCACACTAGGCATGTCCTTCCCTCATGGGATTCACTTCACACCAATCCTTGGAATGAAAGATGCCTCCCCTATACCTGCTAAGGTTTCCACTTGGCTGAATGACACATCTTCTCATAGCTGATTGGCTACAAACCAGGCTAAAACGGTTACAGAGACTACATATAGACTATGTATGATAACATCATCATGTGCAAAGAACCAAGGAAATAGAGGATGGCCTGCATGCCTCCCTCAAAAGAGGATAATCAACCACTACCACTGTCAGCACAACCTCACTGCAATCCAGTAATTTAGGGTTACTCTTTAAATCCACAGGACTGGTAACAAATAATTTCATAAATAAGTTCAATATCAAGGGAAATACAAATAAAAAACAATCAAAAGTCATAGGACATCATAAAACATCTCCTGGAATGATGAATCAAATGTCAAGTATATTACACAGTCAGATAACCTTCAGGGCCAACAGTACATGCTGCCGGCTGCACGCAACTTCGGGTATAAAGCAATAATACCACTGACCCATCAACCAAAGGAGCCACATGGTTTTTCTGAATATCACCACACAATGAATTGGGGAGAAAATATATTCAAATATTCTTAATAGACTCCAAAAGCTGACTGTTAAGTACAAGTGAGTTTAATGGAAAACTTTAATGATCCCGACATAACAGCCTGCCCAAGAGTAGTGCATAATATCTTTCCAGGTTATCACATATGCATTATAATTATTATTATCACTTTTCTTATATGTTGAACTTTACTTCAAATACTTTATCATATCAAAACATACACTTGTTCATGCTATTACTACTGTGCTCTGATTCTGGGCCAAACTAATCACAGAAAAAGTGCAAGACTTCAGAATGGTTGTCTTTCACAAAGCTCAAAAGAAATAATAAATAATAATAAGAAAATAAAGTAATCAAACAATCAAGTTACTCTATTCCCTTTCAGTAAAAAAAATAATACTGTTAATGTCATGATAATATAATATATGCAAACTATTATTCAAAAATACTCTCAAACTCAAACCAATCAAAATTAACAAACAAAATAAATTATAAATGAAAACTTGCACAATGCAAAGAAAATGAAAGAACCAAGACAGAATACAAAGGTAATTAAATATCTTCTTTTATCAACATTCCTTTCTCATTCCTTCATAATACGTGAATCAGATCAAGTGGTTTAGAGCTTAAAAACCAAACTTTTCCACAACGTAAAAACACTCAAAAGCATAAATCTTTTAAAGTCTTAAATATGCAACTTGAAATACTGAACTTTATACAGTCAAGATTTACTCCAGTAAATTCAAAACAAAGCATACAATAAACCAAACCCTAGCTGCAATTCAAGGCCTAAATTTGGCATGGCTCGGGAAGTTGGCATTTTGGCCCAGGAAATAGATCACTCTTGAAAGAGGCCTTTCCGCATTGGAGACGCATTATGAGATTTTCAGCCTGTGTGATTGCAGTTGCCGTTGACCTGATTTTCTCCATGCCCATTCGCTTTTCCATTGGCAATAATTCCATTACTTATAGACCCATTAGTTTGTGGGACTGGCTTCCCTGTGAAGAAGGCATGGTCCTTGTACGCTAAATGTTCTGGAAGAGAGAGCTGTCTGTCTGCTTCAGCTATGTCATTCTTGATGGCCTTTATTAGTTCATCTGCAATGGAAAAAAGAAAGCCATCTTGTAGTACTTCTGTGTGATAAATGAAAAGAAGTGACATAGGAATGAATGAATGAATAAGCGAGGGGGAGGAGATCGAGAGAGAGAGTGAGGGGGAGGGAGGAGAGGGAGAGGGAGGAGGGGAGAGAGAGGAGAGAGGAGAGGAGAGAGAAGAGAAGAGTGAGAGGAGAAGAGGAGAGAGAGGCAGGAGAGAGAGAGAGAGAGAGAGAAGAGAGGGAAGGAGGAGAAGAGAGAGAGAGAGAAGAAAGAAGAGAGAGAAGAGAGAAAGAGAGAGGAGAAGAAAAGAGAGAAAGAGAGAGAGAGAGAGAGAAAAGGATGAACATATATACACAGAAAACAACTAAAGATAGAAATAACTAAACAAGTGAGAGCTAGTAGAAAGAGATAGAAATTAAGAAAAAGAAATCCAGAAAAACAAAGCAAAAAACCAAGTCCCCTGACTCGACATCATCCCTTTAACCTCTGAGAAGTCACACGCATCGTTCAGGCCCTGGCAATAATCTCCCCTTCTACAGCCTAAGACTGACAAAGCTCAAGAAAACTGTCCGAGTCACAGTAAGAATTGCACCCCTACCAGGTCTTGCAACTTGGTAGTTCTTGAACCGTATTCATGTTGACAAATGTGGAAAGGTATGAATGAGAACGAATATCTTCACAATACAAGAGATGTATTTAACTGGTTTCGATTATATCTTCGTCAGAAATACATAAATGTATTTCTGACGAAGATATAATCGAAACTAGTTAAATACATCTCGTATTGTGAAGATATTCGTTCTCATTCATACCTTTCCACATTGGTTGTTCTTTAAGGCATGTATTTGCTGTGACAAATGATTTAGAGAAAAAGAGGAGGATGGAAGAGAAACAAATACAAGCAGGTTTCATGTCTCCCCCTTCCACAAAAGAAGGAAAAACAATCAGGCAAAACAAAATATCAATGTGAAATATGGAAATTTACCCTCTGATAGCTATTCAACACAATAGCTTTGCCAAAATAAAAATGGTATAGTTAAATTCCATATATGCATGATTAACTGCTAAATACATAAAACAAAGAAGTTTCCACCTTAGTCTCACATTTTCACAGCTCCAAGACATGAGTGCCAACAAAACAGGAGATGCTTACCAAGAGAATTATAATTTTCTTCTGGGCGAATATATCCCAACATGACCACTTTCAGCTCAGATCCATAGAAGTCGTTCTCGAAGACGTGCATGATGTGTGTTTCCTGGAAGATGTAAATCTCCTTTGATGTGTGCACCCAAGTGCATACACACAGAGGTAAATGTTAGTAACTAAAATTAGCAGAGAAATCAAAAGAAAAAGAAAATACAGGGAGGGAAGTCCATTAGTGGTGCACTGCATGCCTGCTGCTTGCATAGAAGTAGTTTAGTAATTAAGCATACAAGCCTATAGCTTCATGCATTGTGCAAAACAGCTCTTTCACCAAATTTTGCTTTTGAACAAATATATCCAACTAACTCAAAAAAGAAAGGAAGACATTAACATCCAATAATTAGTACATGCTCATCATGCTGAAAGGGCCTTTTACTCATTATAAAAGCATGAAGACAACACACTAAAAATACTGTAGATGATAATTCTCAACTATCCATGCAAACAAGCTGATGGAATAAGAGTATGTAACTACATATAGCACTCCTATTACCTAAAAAATTAACAATCTGATACAGTTGCATGCTTTTA